GCATCCATGAAAAGCTCACTATGTGATCCAGACACCCAGGAAATTCTTTAAACCAAGAAAAATAAGAGTTATTAACTACTGACAGTACATTTTAGGGCCTAAGAAATAACCATCCAGTTCCATTTAAATACAAGCACGTGTTCTGTTTCTGTGTGTGTGAGAGAGAGTGAATCTCTTCCACTTGGAAGCCCCTGTATGACATAGAATTCAAGCCGTATTTTTTAAAAAGTAAAAGGAATGGCAACATGAATAATAGAAAATGAGAAATGTTCAAGTACCAAAGGAGATTATTTCCATTCCTTGTCTGCTCAGCTGCTGGCTAGTGAAGTTGCAAGGACTCTCATAAAGGGTGAATATATCAGGAGCTGGCGTTATTTTGCTGTTCATCATGCTTTTTCAAAGATCCAGATTACATTCTGCTACTTCCATAATATTTCAGTCATTTATTCATTCATTCATTTCCTGCTTTTCCTCAAGGCTGGAATTCAAGGAGGCTTAGAAATTGATCTGATCACTATATAATTAAAAACAGACCATATAATTATTTAGTTTATATATAAATATAAACCATATGATTAAGAACATAATTAAAAAGTAAAAACATAAAGCAGAATTAAACTATTAACCATACTAAAACTGTTTCAAATATATACAGTACTTAATTAAAACAATACAGTTTAAAACAACACTTCTCCCTCATTACTGGCCTTTACTTAAAAGACTTAAGTTCTAAAAGTCTATTTAAATGTTGTGTTTCATGTTCACTTGCTAATGAAAGGACAGTGAGGAGTCTCCAGGAGGGAGTTCCAAGTTCTAGGGGCAGCCATGAAGAAGACCCTGGGCCCGTCCAGACAGGACCTTTATTACGGTAACTTCCGCAATAAAGAAGAGGCTGTCCAGACAACATTCTGGACAGTCCCGAATTAATTCGCTACAAACCAGGAAAACCCTGGTCTGTAGCAAATTAATTTGATAGTGGATTTGTCCCACGCCTTCTTGGAAGGCACAGGATAAATCCACTATTTCCGGTGCAGAATACTGCAGTCCAGACAGTATTCCCACAGTTTACCAGGTTAAATAAGCCCCGTAAACTGTGGGAATATTACTGCTTTGAGTCTGCTGCAGGAGAAATAAAGCAGGTTAATAATAATAATAATAATAATAATAATAATAATAATGCAGTTTGGCATCACTTCAACTACCACGGCTCCTGGAAGCAGTGCCTTAAATCCTATTGCATATTGATAAATGCATAACTGAAAGTTATATATGTGTGACTCGTTCCTATTTATAATCCATATGTATTCCGTTGTTTGGAGGCTACACAGGGACTATGAAAACTAGCAACCCCCAGTAACTAGTCATCAGCCACTGGTATCGGTAGGAGTCAGTTTAGCATTTCAAAGGCAGTAGGTAATAACCCACGGGTCTCATGAACTTTATGCAACCATACACACACAGCAATTTGGATGACAAAATGTTGTGGTTTGAGGGTTTCTATTGCAACAGGAAACATGGATGGACTGTCTGTGACACCTGTCTGCTTTTGTTCTAACCATCTGTAAAGGCCTACATACTAAACTCAGGACAACAGCGTCATAAAATTTATTCTTAGGGAAGTGATTATTGTGAGGATTTGTAACAGACACCATTATATAAATCGGTTGGCTGGAAAGACATGTGTTGGCAGCTGATTGGCTAAACATGCCAGGAGCCAGAATTCAAATTGGCTACTGCCTCTAGCTTGCTGCTGAGACAAACGGTTTTAACTGCCACTTTCACTTTGGAGAGTGAAGAGAGTGCTGACTGGAAACAGCCAGGAAGGAAATAGCTGCCAACTTTCAGAAGCCTGATCATTTCAATTGCATGAAGCACATTTTAAAGACTGCTTAAAATGACTGTTTATTCCCTCTGTTCTCTGTAAGAATTCAGAGAGACTGTTATATATATTGTTGCCCTGTTTGTCCTTTTGAAATGAAGTAAAGTTACTATTACTCATTACACAAGCCTGAGTTACACATTTATACTATATTTTGGTTCAGAAACTGTGGTAAAGCTTCTGTTTATTTACTCTGCAACCCCCCACAATTATTACAGGACTGAATGTGACAAAGGCTATGAATCCTGTTAGTAAATCCTGTGTAACTGAGGAACACAGGATGGCACTCACTGACTCCTTCCATTCTCTTTACCATGGCAGCCAGCAGGAGTAACATGGGTCATGCCAGTTGCTTGTTGCCTGTAGTGCTGCTCATCATAGTGCTGAGACAATTGAAAAAGGGAAGGAGAGAGGAGGGGGCTGCTCCCCCTCACCCTTCCCAATATCACTCCAGATGACAAGTGTCTGGCGTAACCCATATTATACTCACTGCTTGTCATGACAAAAAGAATGGGAACTGATAGTAAGGGTGCAACCCTAGGATAAGTGCCCCAGTACCTTGAAGAACACTGTAAAAGTCTGTATTCAAACCTGGAATGGAGCCAGTGTCTAGTGATATGGAGGCCACCAACAGCCAATGGTCTAATGTAAGCAGATCCACTTTTTTTCTATTTAGGAAAAGTATGAACAAACTACCAGCCTGAATTATCACAACCAGCAACCTTGTGCAAAATTGTTTTCAAATGTTTGCTCAGGGCAAACCCTATTTATATGGTAAGCTCCTAGGAGGTAGGAACACTCTTTTTGTTGTCTGCTGTGGACATTATTGGCATCATAAATAAAGAAGAAAAGGTAACTGCCACTTTGTTTTGTATACTTAGGAGACGTGATAAAGAATGGGAGGTAAGACCCTAGGGAGGAAAATCCTTGGAGGTCAGAGACAAGATCCTCCAAGCAGACTTGTGCCTCTGTGCCTGCAATGCTCTTCCTATGCATTTGCTGGAACTTAGTCCTGTTTAAATCCAAGAGGTCCTGAGGGAACACTTATAAGATTGTGTTGCACAGCATATGACTTTTGCTTATTCATGTTGTGTGCATTCAAGTTGTCTCTGACTTATGGTGACCCTATCACAAGCTGAGAGAGTGTGACTTCTGCAGTGTCCTTTCATGACTGAGTGGAGATCTGTTCTGTTCCTTTTTCATAAACATGTTGAATATCTCTCGCCCAGAAATTTGAAATGCTCCAAAATCCAAAATTGTCCACATGGGTGACTGAGATAGAGGCACCTTTGCCCCCTGGCAGTTCAATGTACACAAACTTTGTTTTGTGCACAACATTGTTAAAAAGATTGTGAATAAGTTGACCTTTAGGCTATGTGTATCAGGAGTAAATGAAACACAAATGAATGTCATGTTTAGACTTAAGTCCCATCTCCAAGATGATGTATACGGTTGGACCTTTGCAGGTGATTCGCAAAAAAGCCTTACTGGTGCATTATTTGAACTGTTATGTTTATTCATATCATGATCTGATCACCATACTCAATATATCCCATAAGCATGGGGGTATTGGGGTAACGATACAAAAGGTTTGCTAGGGTAGACCCTCTTTCACTCAGTCTCAGCCCCCCCCCCCCCCCCGAATCGAAATCCTGGCTACGGGCCTGGACCTTTGGTATCTGCTGTGATTTGGTACAAGAACACCCTACCGACCCTTGCATAATCCATGGATGCTTGTGTTCCATAAAATGGGTTAGTAAAATAGTTTCTCTTATATATATAAAGTGGCAAAAAATAAAATAAATGAAAAAGATTGTTTTGGATTTAAAAATATATATATATTCAAACTTTGGCTATGGATGCAAAAATCCTGTGCTCCGAAATCTGAAAATAATATTCTTATTCTTTGTCTTAGGCAATCCCTTGTTGTCCGAGTAGGATAGTCTTCCAAGAACAGTGTACTGGCAGTGGGTCCATAGGTGACTGTGCATCTTCTCCTGCAGTAAGGCATCAGTTTCCAGGTGGAAGGCGGTCCTGGTCGGGGTTAGCTTGATGCGCCCTCCTCTTGGCACATTTCACCTACTTTTGCCCTCCATTTTTTAAAGTTTCATTCTATAGTTGTCGTGCTCGAGGTCACAGGACCTTTTGCTCCTCCATTCATGCCTCTTCAAATTCTACAGCACTGCTGGTCACAGCTGACCTCCAGCTGGAGCACTCAAGGGCCAGGGCTTCCCAGTTCTCAGTGTCAATGCCAGAGTTGGCTTTGAGCCCATCTTTAAATCTCTTTTCCTGTCGTCCAACATTCTGTTTTCCGTTCTTGAGTTCGGAGTAGAGTAAAAGCTTTGGGAGATGGTGGTTGGGCATCTGGACAATGTGGCCAGTCCAGTGGCGTTGATGGCAGAGGATCATTGCTTCAATGCTGGTGGTCTTTGCTCTTCCAGCATGCTGTTTGTCCGCTTGTCTTCCCAAGAGATTTGCAGGATTTTCTTGGGCCACCGATGGAATTGTTCCAGGAGTTGCATGTGACGTCTGTAGACTGTCCACGTCTCGTAGGCGTATAGCAGGGTTGGGAGAAATAGCTTTATAAACAAGCACCTTGGTCTCCCTACGGATGTCCCGGTCCTCAAACACTCTCTGCTTCATTCGGAAAAATGCTGCACTCACACGAGCTCAGGCGGTGTTGTATTTCGGTGTCGATGTTGACTTTGGTGGAGAGGTGGCTGCCAAGGGAGCGGAAATGGTTAACATTTTCTAATGTTACACCATTAAGCTGTATTTCTGGCATTGGAACAGGATTGACTGGTGACTGCTGGAAGAGGACTTTGGCTTTCTCAATGTTCAATCACAGGCCCAGCTTCTTGTAAGCTTCTGCGAAGGTATTTAGAGTGGCTTGTCGGTCTTTTTCTGAATGCGCACAGACATAATTGTGTGTTTGGGGGTCACCACAACATGAGGGGTCGCAGCATTAAGAAGGTTGAGAACCACTGCTCTAGTGTGATGAGGTTTTGGTTTTCCCAATATAATCTGCGTCACTGTAGAGGCGCGCTTGATTCAACTGGATCCCGAAGCAGAGAGGAGGGCAGGGTGTTTAGGCAAAGAGATGGAAAGAGAGCGTGGGCCTGCCTAGGCGAGAGGAAGGTGCCCCGGGCGCACTGGGCAGGGCCAGCAGCCGGGCACCTCTCCCTTCCCCCTGGAGCTGGAGCAGGCGGGGCCGAGTGATGCTGCCTCTTCCTCCTTTGCTTCCTCCTTCGCGGACAAAGAGCCACCTCCCCGGCAGCGGCGGCAGCATGAGCGGCACCAGCCCGGACCAAGAGGAGCCCGAGAAGGAGATGGAGCTCTCCGCCGAGGAGGAAAGGGCGGGCGCCGAGCTGGACTGGGAAGCCGCCAAGGCCGCCTACGAGAGCCTCACCACCACCAAGAGACCCCGGCCAGTGAGTCCCCAGCCCCCCCGCCTGGCTCCCTCCTCCAGCACCACTGCCTTCCCCTAGTATCTAGATGGCCGCCGCTCTCCTCTCTTGGCACCGCCCTCTCCTCCTCTTCTTCCTCCTCCCGGGCACTTCCTCGGCCAACTTGGGCGCCTCTTCTTCCCAGCCCCGAAGGCCCTCCTGGCTGCCACCTTGCTTCCCCATCCAGGGTTAGCATCACAGTGAGCCCAAGGGTTTGGCGTCAGGACCCTCTTGGATGCCCAAATCCATGGATGCTCAGAACCCATGACTTACAGCAATGGTGCAAAGGGTGCCCCATGTAGAAAATCATGAATATTTTCAAGCCCTAGATGGCTGAATCATTGGGTGTAGAATCATAGAGTTGGAAGAGACCCTATAAGCCATCCAGGCACAATCAAAGCAGCCCCAGCAGATGGCCATCCAAAAATATTTGCAAGCCCAGGATGGCTGAATCCTTGGGTGCAGAATCATAGAGTTGGAAGAGACCCCCTAAGCCAGGGGTCCTCAAACTAAGGCCTAGGGGCCGGATAAGGCCCTCCAAGGTCATTTACCCAGCCCTTGCTCATGGTCACCCTAAGTCTGAAATGACTTGAAAGCACACAACAACAACGATAATGCTATCTCATCAGCCAAAAGCAGGCCCACACTTCTCATTGAAATACTAATACGTTTATATTTGTTAAAATTGTTCTTTATTTTAATTATTGTATTGTTTTAAAGTATTTTCCTTTCCTGTAGGTTGAATCCATTGTTTTACGTCCTAGTCTCCAGAGCAGCAGAAAAAAAGTCTCCTCCCTATGACGTCCCCTCACATCTTTATACAAGGCCCTCATCATGTCTCCTCTCAGCCTTCTCTTCTACAGGCTAAACATGCTCAGCTCTTTAAGCCGCTCCTCATAGGGCTTTTTCTCCAGACCCTTAATCATTTTAGTCGCCCTCCATCATTCTATACTGTAAAATTAATGTACTTTGACATCATAGCTCAAGGCTATGGAAGTATAGAAGTTGATGTTTTACAAGGACGTTAGCCTCATTAAGTTTCAACACCCTTGACTCCATAGCATTGAGCCATGGCAGTTAACGTGGCATCAAGTTACATTCATTTCCTTAAATTGGAGTTCACCAACAAGATTCCATCCAATATTATTTTATATTATGTCGTCTGCCCACCGTATCTTTGGGTCCTACATGAATAGATTCAACCAACAGCTTGAAAATAATTCAGGAGGATCCTAAAGACAAACCTTGATTTTCCTGAGCACAATTTCCTGATGTGTAGGAATAACCTGCTGTTGCCTCCTGCCATTTCACAGATCTTCAAATCTCTCTCTGACACTTGTTTGAGTTGTTCACCATTCTATAGAAGGGACACACACCTGACAATGGGATTTGAACATCCACAAATTTTGGTATCTATGAAGGGTCTTGGAACCAAACCCAAGCAGATACTGAAGGCCCACTGTATATTATAGCTATATTATATTGCACTAGTCGTCCCCTGCCACGCATTACTGTGGCCCAGTCTATGTATATATGTGTTTATATATTTGTGTATATGTGTATATACGTATATTTGCCTAATTTTCGTGGTTTTGCACATGCATTGTAATGTTTGGGGGTTTTTTTTGGCTTTTTAAGTCCCTTCTGCTGTGTTTTTCAGTGTTTTTATGAGTGATGGTCACTCTTTGGCCTGATAGGTGTCTTGTGTCCAAATTTGGTGTCAGTTCATCTAGTGGTTTTTGAGTTACGTTAATCCCACAAACGAACATTACATTTTTATTTATATAGATTACTAGCTGTACCCGCCACATGTTGCTATGGCCAAACTTCCCTCTCTCTTTCTCTCCTCCTTTCTTTCCCTCCTTCCTTTCCTCTTTCTTTCCTTCCTTCCTTCCTTCCTTTTTTTTTTGTTCTCTCCTCCCTCCCTCCCTCCCTTCCTTCCTTCCTTCCTTCTCTTCCTCTTCCCTTCGTCCCATCCCTTTTCTTTCCCTTCCTCTTTCTCTCTGTTCTTCCTTCTCTACCGATTCTTGGACTGCAGCTCCCATCAGTCCTTCTGATCGATCAAGCTATCTAGAGGATTGCTGGGAGTTGCAGTCCAGGAACAGGAAATTGGAAATATGCATGGATTGGGATGCTCTCAAAGAAATCCAAGGAGAAGAAAGTTTGCAGCTTGGAAGCAGTTCATTTGGATCATCCACCTCTCCTAAAGGGCCTGGTCTAGGGGATGCTGGGAGATGTAGTCCGGAAGAGAGTGTGGATATGCTATTGTGTGTTTTGTTTGCCAGGGGGAGTAATTTTGCGCATGCTCTGTGGCTTCTTTTTACTTTTTTGGCTTTTTAAATCCCCTCCGGTGTGTTTTTTGGTGTTTTTATGAGTGATGGTCACTCGTTGGCCTGATAGCTGTATTGTGTCCACATTTCGTGTCAATTTGTCCAGTGGTTTTTGAGTTATGTTAATCCCACAAATCAACATACCATTTTTATTTATATATAGATGATCATTATTATGTCTCTCATTTTGTCCCTCTGACAGCCCAAACCCCAAAATGCCATCACTGTCGCTGTATCCTCCCGGGCTCTCTTTGATATGGTGGAAGAGAGGAAAATCTATGAAGAACAAGGCCTGGAAAAGTACGTGGAGTACCAACAGGCAAACGAAAATGTCACCCTGAAGCCTGGGCCAGCCTTTTGCTTCGTAAAGGTAACCTCGCTTCTTTGTGCGGAGTTCTGTTTCGTGGTCTTTTTAATTATGTTATTACCCATGAGCCATTAATAATCTCTCCCGGCCTCGCCCTCTCTGCCTGAAGCAG